GTGCCTGAAGATAAAAGCATATGTCATCTTTGACTTGTTTTCAAGAACCCTTCTGTTGTGAACAGATATGAATTTAACAGATCTTTACTTCACTGGGACTGAGAATGTACTGTAGCAATGAGGACCTACTGTCAAGTGCCTTGTTTGTAATTCTGCTTTTAATGCTGTAGTAATTCAGATTCACATTGCAGTGAAGAACTAAAGAGTATCTGAGAAATACATTTACAAATTGAATGAATGAACATGGGTTTTGCTAGGATACAGATAAATCTGCCATTGATTTGAGGTTTGGATGGTAAGAACAGATATTGTTATGGTGTTTAACAAATGAACATGGTTAATTTAAATTTCCAGTAATTATATGAAAAGAAAATACTTGGCTTCCTCATATCATATACTGCACCAGCACTGTTTCTTAGTCTCATTTAAAATTCATTCTTCTAAATGCTGATGCTGATTATGAATATTAGTATTTCAATGGTATCATTATGGACAAAGTCCCCTAGAATCAGAACTGGAATCAGATAGTATAGAATTTACACTGAGAAGGAAAAAATATGTAAATGAGAAATAACACTGTGTCAATATTTTATCCTTTTTTCCCCCTTGAATATTTATTATAAGATATTTATTCATAAATTGTATTCATTCCTGTATTCATTACAGTTATGTTCAATATTAATCAAATATCTGACAAATCAGTGTTACTTTATTATTCGCTTTTTGCACAGAAGTCTTTATAGCATATTCACATGACAATAGTATTCAGTTTTTCAGCTTTTAAAAGAATAACTTTGTTGATTTGAATTAATTATCAGCTCTTTCCTGTCACATTTCACTTTTTTTAACAGCTTTTTTCTTCCTAAAGTATAATTTACATTATACATTTGAGGATTATTTTGCTATGTACCTTGATGACCTAGCCTTTTCAAAATCCCTTTTTATGTATAAATCAAAAGATCCTATTAGCATGCATTCTATTAATATAGAACTTGCTTAAGGGAAACAGTTGATTTTAGTTTTTATATCTTAATTGAGGGTTAACTTCTAATAAATGCAAATCCAAAAAGAGCTGTGGAAATGGAAGAATTGTAAAAAGGTCAAGGACTTTATTTTTATTTGCTTTGCGGACTTTATTTTTATTTGCTTTGCCTTATTTCTTCCTACACAGTCATTTCACCAATATGAGTGTAGAAGGCCCCTTCCCCCTTTCCTCATAAAATCCCTTCAAAATCAAAGGCTGGGAATGGCCTTGCTTGCTGTCAAAATGGAGCAAAATATTTTAAGGGAGGTTAGACACTATTGTACTCAGAAGAATAACATTTTTTATGCTAAAAAAAAACAGAATTCTTCAAAAGAGAGTCAGTTTGGTCTAGTGATTTTAAGGCAAGACACCAAGTTAGAAACCAAGAGACTGTGAGTTCTAGTCCCACCTCAGGCATGAAAGCCAGCTGGGTGACTTTGGGCCAGTCAGTCTCTCTCAGCCCAACTCACCTCACAGGGTGGTGGTTGTGGGGAAAATAGAAGGAGGAAGGAGTATTAGGTAGTTCGCCACCTTGAGTTGTATAAAAATAATAAAGGTAGGATAAAAAAATCTTTAAAAAAAAAAAGGAATTCTACACCTTGGGAAATTTGTTCACACTAAACAAACTTAATCATTTTGGATTAAAAGGACCTCTGGTAGCAGAAGTGGGAAAATAAAGCATGAAGCATACTGTAAGTGAAATTAACTGCTGGGTCAGTATAAGTAGCATAGAAGCATATTACTGGAGTCTATTACTCAGTTCCTGTGGAGAGTAAAGAAGATGACTCTGATGGAGAATGGGGAGATCTGTTACCAAAGCAATGAGGAAGGAAACATTGCTTAAGCCGAAACAGTGAAGGAGGAATGTGAAAATCCCTCAGATAGACACCTCCCTGATTCATGTCAGTATAAGAGGGGGAGGTACAATCAGATTTGCAAGATTGTTACTATAGCTAATCTTAATCAAAAGTAATTTTAGTCTTAATGTGGAATTGATTTCTTGGTCTGATCTACACACTGGGGCTGACGGTTTCCTTCCTGTCTTCTGCTAGGCCTAAATCATGCTTTAGGTTTGAACACACCTGTCTGCAGCTCTTTAAAACAGCTGTGTCTTTTTCAACTGCCTTCTACCGCTGCAACAGCATCCTGTGAAAATATACATTTGGTTTAAGGAGTTGATGAAGTACTGTGTGTGGACACTTACGTGGTCCAAAGTATCTTTCTGCCTTTAAATCTGAAATGCCATACAGGTCTATTTTCTGCCTTCTACTAATCACACCTTGCGTACTCCCATTCAATTAAGTGATAGAATGAAAGCAGGTTAAGATACTTCAGAATGCTATGCACTTACCTTTTAATTTTCTTTTAAAACTTTGAATGCTGTACTTCAAGTTTTTCCCAAATGTTTTACAATGGGCAGAAATCACAATATAAGTATTTAAACAAAGCAGTGGTTAAACTATAATGTATAAGGATGCAAGCAGACACCAGAAATAGATTTTAAAGTATTGCAACATGTAAATTTAAATATTTAATTTACCTAAAGGAAATTAATCCTTAAAGTAAAGAGGCAATTGTCTCCCTCCATTAAAAAAAAAACAGAAAAATATATTGAATAAGCCAAAAATTCTGTGCAGTGTCCAGATTTCCCATATCATTAACCTAGGGTTATCACCTCCAACTGAAATCAGTCCTGATTATTTTTTTCTCCCTAGTAGAGTTTGCATGTCATATACTTGTATATGTATATGGTATATGTACACATACATACGTGTGTGTGTGTGTACACACTGGCCAGAAGTCACACTCCAAAAAAGGGTGGAGTGGGGAAAAATTATTAATTGACTGAATAGCTATTGATTAAGATTAAAACATAAAGCCTCCTTCAAGTTGAGCTTGTCTCCTTGTGAGTTTATGGATACCAGACGTGCTTAGCTTTTTGAGATCAGCCAAGATCAGCAAGGTGTTGCCAGCTAGTTGGGCTCCAATTAAAATGACTTGCCTTTTAAATAAGGTGGACCATTTATATCATTAGTTGATATCCAATCTGGATTAAAATGAAGTGAGGAGGAAACATAATTGGAAAGACAAAGAGAGAAATTAAAGAGGGAGTCTGTCCTCTGTGTGTGGAGTCTGGAGTTTGAGGAAGCTCTCACCCATTTTTCTAGAGTCCCAACTCTCAGGAAGCAGAAATAGCTGTCCCCTATTAAATGGTTTCTGTTCTGGGATATTTATTTATTTGCTGTTTTTCAAAATACAAAATACTGACAAAACACAAAAATGTACTAAAATGCAGAATTAAACAAAACAGTCCTTAAAGAAAAAAAAAATGAAAACCAAAGAAAAGATTATTTTAAAAAACCAAACAACAACAAAAAAGATCTACCTTATATATTAAACTTATCGATTGTTACTGGATTACTAATAAATATCGTATAGTACTTATAGTATAATCAGTACAAAATATTGTTGTAAAATATTACAAAGTCTTTGTGAGAATAGTACATATTCCTTCATCCTTTGATTAGTAGAAAATATTACCTTTTCCGAGGCAAATAAATCCCACATTTCCAAAAGCCATTCAACACCTGAAATAATATCAGTTTTCCAATTATGGCTCAATACAGCCATAATTTCTGATAAACAGTGAGATTCCAAAGCTTTGGTATATAATTCAACATCACATGAACATATTTAATAATTAGAGATTTTCCTATAAATCTACTTATGTACATTAAAATTCCATTCCAAAAAGTTACCAAATGATCACATGACCATATCATGCAGTTCAATGAACCCTCAAATTTTTTACACCCTCAACAAAGAAAATCTGATGTCCATCCTTTCAAGTAAATTTAGGGAGCTCAATGCCCTCTAAATACAATTTTTTGATGAATCAACTTGAATTTTAAATACATTGATACCATTTTAACATTTCTAAGGACATGAAGCCATTGATGGGTCATTATCAGAGATTCCAGTTCTTTAATCCATGTTTGGAATATCCCAAAAATGTCGACTCTAAAAATAATCCTGAACTTTTGATAGAGATACACAGACACACACTTTTCACTTTCAAAGATGCCAAAAGAATAACAGAAGAAGGGCCATGCATGTATCACTGTGTAAGCATTCCAGAACTGAGGGAAAATTCCATGCCTGAAAAAGCCAGCTCCTGGACAATCAGTGATTCCTAGGTTACTTCTATTTTTGGGAACCATTATACCTTGATTAAAGTAAATTGGATAGGAGAACCCCAATATCTATGGGCCATGTGTGGCCCCGAAAGCTCCTGCAAAGGTGCTGACAGTTTGGTGGCATGAAGCAGAGTAAACTGCCTAATGATTACGAGAACAAGAAGAAACAAGAATTCAGTTGTTCCCTGGGTGCTAGAGAAGGCCCCATTATACAAAGGCTCCCTAAGCTTCTGCTTGTCACCAGTGTTTTCAGGCTACTTCTGTTGTAGACAGTGCCTTTGCTCTGTCCTCCTTTGTGCTTGTGAAACCAGGGAATCTTGCAGGAGATATTTTGAACTGTGAAGGCTATGTGCTTGATATTCCTCTTGAGTTTTGTAGGGAAATGTGTAAAAATAAAGGGAGAAAAATTTGGGGAATATTATCTAGAATGTTAAGTAACTGTAACTTGATTTAGAGAGCCAATTTGGTGTAGTGGTTAAGGCTAGAAACTAGGAGATGGTGAGTTGTAGTCTTGCCTTACTCACAAAGCCAGCTGGGTGACCTTGGGCCAGTCATGCACTCTCAGCCCTAGAAAGGAGGCAATGGCAAACCACTTCTGAAAAACCTTGCCAAGAAAACTGCAGGTACTAGTCCAGGCAGTTGGCAGGAGTCAACATTGACTTGAAGGCACAAAACAAACAAACTTGATTTAACATAAGAATACCTCATATTTGGATAATTATGTCCTCTACTTTGAATCCTGTATTTACTGTGAGCTGCTGTTTTTCCCAATTTATTAGGTAGAAATAACAGAGATTGAAAATGAAGAAAAGAGGTATGCTCTCGTCATGAAACTTCTGGAAAATAGTGAGGAACATGAAGAATTCCAGCATTTAGTTATGCTCCTGCAAGCTTGGCCACCTATGAAAAGCCCAAATATGTAAGTTATTTGTCTTGCACAGTAACATATGTTTAAAATATCTTTTGGTATCTTGACCTAGTGTTAATTTTGAAATTACTTTCCATTTGCAAATTTAAAACAAATGATTGTAGAATTGCCCTATTATTTTTAAGTAGTAAGAAACTGCTGTTTTAATTGAGTGAGTGATTGATTGCTGGTATTTCTAGGCCACCCCAATTCTGAAAAACTTCTTTGTCTTTACAAAGTGCAAAAATACTATATATTTTCTTATAGACTCTAAAATATTTATTATGATGATCACTGACCAGCATTTTATACTGTTTTTGTAAGAGATTACAAAACTCAAATTAAAATACATAAACATTTTCTGGAAGATTAATAGAAGTCAATAAAATAGTTCAGACTTCTGAACACTATATATACAAAGAATAAAATACTAAAAAATCTTAAAGGCCTAAAACTAATTGATTAAATTATAAAATACTAAAATGCTAACATACTAAGTAGCTTATTAATAATGCATTTGAGTGGCTTAAGGTGAGCTGTAGGTGACAACCAATGGTATTCTGTTGTTCTGTGATTATTAATAAGCTGCAACGCAAACTAGACAATGATGCTTCACTTTCTTAGGTGCTAGGTGGCAGGTCCAGACTTGCATGCAGATTCTCATAAGTAACAACAAAAGAGTGATACTAACATGAGACACAGACCCTGCAAAAAACCCCAATGTGTACTTTGCCCCAACGTTTTATATCAGCACCATCACACCCCATAGAGTTTAACCATTCTATGCATCTAATTAAAATTTGTTAATCAGAAAAGGTGCTACCAGATTCTTCCTGATTTTTGGCTACCATAGACTAATACAGCTGTCCACCTATAATGTTTCCTTTAATCAGAACGTTTGGTATGTCTTTTGTTCTGATGGAATATGGAACATTGAAGCCATGGTGGGGGAGGGGTTTGTCCATCCTAGCACAGCCTATATATTCCAGTAGAATGTTCTGAGTGGGGCTGTTTTGTTCCAAGACTGAAATAAAATACATTTTTCATTTTATGCACATTCCTCTATATTTGACCTTAACCTTTATAAACCATTGATATACACATAGAATTCCCTTCGAGCAAAATTCAGATTTTTATTTAATAGAGAAAGACAATTGCATTGGGAAATGGGAAAATTCTTTTACAATGGCTTGGTTATTTGTATCCTCTTTTTTCATCGGATTCCTCTCTTGCCTTTTAAAAAAAGCTTTTATGCATATGGAAGAAAAAAACATGCTAGACCTATGGCGTATTTAAACAATCCATTATACCATACTCTCATTTTATTTTTTTTTTCCTTTTCAAGAGGAAATTAGGAATTTCTGGCTGGGGCAGGGGTAGGGTTATAGGACAGAACTACTCTTACCTTCCCAGCTTTAAACATTTCCTAATACAGTATGTCCCTTTTTGAGCCATATCTTCTGAGTTAATTGATTTAAGAATTATGGGGAAGAAACATTCCTTGTGAACTATAAAGCTGTTTTCTTCTCTGTCTGGCAACTGAGCCATGTAAAACTGAGCACTAGTGGTCTCTTGTACCTCAGAAAATGAACTTTTGCAACCTCATGTAATGACAAAAGGCAGTTGTTTGGGTTTTGCTTGATAAACTTCCACTCAGCGGTGGGCTTTTATAGTCAAGGCACTTTGTACCTTGGATTTATTTTCAGCATCTTTATTCTATCAAAATCTGGGCTGGAAAATGTGTTGGGTCCTCTGTGTCAAACTGAGGGGACACAGGGCAGAGGTAGAAAAAGTTGCATGAGTGGATTTCTGATCATGGAATGTTGGCTTTTATTCTTTCCCTCTCTTTTCTGTGGGCCAGAAGATGTTATGAGATGGTATTTTAGAGAACATCATCTCTGTCCTATGCAGCTACTCCTATTGTGACATAAGCTGTTTTCTCACTGAACTAAGTTGGCAGGCTGGAGGCTTACCATGCCACAGTATTAATTCAATTACGCATTCAGCTATTTCTCTGGTCTCTTTATTGAATTGTCACATTTCAGATTATCTCTGGATTCTTTCAAAGACAAACTGTCATTTGATCAAAGACATAATATGTAGTACTTTGATTGACTAGAATGTACACACTCATGTAAATTTGCATTGTTTTACATATGAATAAAGCATTTCTGACAAGGAAAAATACTTTGTTTTCATATGATGCATGAATTTGTCACAGCAGCCACATTTTGAAGAAACCTTTCCTGAATCATAAAAAAAGATGGTGAATGTCCTGACTTCTTATATATTTCATAGCTTTTACAAGCTAGGTGTTGCTATTAAAATTAGTTCTTTTCATATAATTAGGATAGCACCTTGCTATTGTAAGCTGTTTTAATTTATTAACTACTTAATAGTTCACAACCCAATTAAAGAGAAAGAATAACAAATAAGAACATTTAATGCCACCTATGATTCTCCCTCTTCATCATTCTATTAATCTTGATCGAGAAAAAGGAATTGCAACTTCATTTTACATTTCCAATAATAATCATGTAATGTCTGAAATTCAAAACCTGTCCCAAAGTGGATTTAAAGACATGCGCATGTGGTGTGTGAGGGGCAGAAAATGAACAAAAAAGTTAAGCTTTAGTTCTGTAGATAATTTATATAGATTCTTATACTAATTTAGTTTTGAAGAGAGCATTTGCCAGTAACACTAGCCTTGACAGGTTTATAATGTGTGAGTATTATTATACTTTATTACCTTCTGAATTTTACTGTCATGCACAGTATTTGTGGTGTAACTGGTAATTGAAGTGTGATATTGTACCTAAACTCAAACAATATCATTGCCCGAGTCATAATAGCATGCAAATTGTGACTCTAGATTAGAAAACTAATTCTGGAAAAAATTTCACAATTTACTTTAAATAATTTTTAGTTAAAGTTACTTAACAATTGACAAATCATTTTGTTAATTTTTAGTTAAACTTAATCACTTACTATTAGCAAACATTAATCTGAAAATTTAAAAAATCGGCTGGGCTTGTCTTATTTGCCTCTGACCTCAGTTTGTATTCTGTCTATTTTCAAACTTTGTTTGACATTACAGAAGACACATATTAGCCTTTATGGCTTATTTGCTTACGCTGTCTAGCAATCAGCTCCTCCTTATTGGGGTGTGTGTGTGTGTGTGTGTGTGTCTGTCTGTCTCTCTCTCTCTCTCTCTGCCACACTTTTGTTTAATTAAAA